CAATGATGTGTGGTGTTCATGATCGTGAAATGTCAATATAAGAGCAACACACAGATAAAGTTATTTCACCATAAATCATTATGGGTTCGGAAGGATTTCCAAAAAATTCAGCATAAAATAGATGCCCCCCCGGAAGGTAGTCTAGGCAAGATCTACTCCCTCAGGGCAGGTGATCACCCTGTGGAGTGACTGCGTCGCGAGCCTCATGCCACCGTAGTCCGCTTTCCAGACATTGGGAAGTGCTCCACGACAAACGCCTCCAACTCGTCTCGTTTGTTCAAAACACTACGTACATTGGCAGACACTATGCACACGCGGCCGCGCCGGTCGATGGCAGCCGACGCACGTCCCTCCAGTTTACGTTGGAGGAATCTCTCTGTTCGGTATTGCAAGAGGGTTCCACCGGAAATGTAGGCGCCTCCTCTGGACCCGAAAATCCCGGATGAAGAGATATTGTTCACTATCTGCTCGGCGCTCATGGATTTCGGCTAATGCCTGCTTCAGCTTCTGCCGTTCGTCCGCGTCGAAGTCACGTAGTAGCCTGACGGGTTCCCGTTTCAGGCGAAAAGCACGCTGAAATACAGACTTGGTTTCCTCCATCGATCCGGGGACGACTTTCAGTGGACGAGGGGCACCGCCCTCTCGTTTGGCTCCTAGCCTTAAAGCGGCCTTCACTCGTATCGCCTGGGCTTGTGTTTCCTCGCCAGGGACAAAGAGACTGGCTAGGACACCTCGAAACAAGGATATGTCCGCGTTAATCCGGACTTTTACCGAGGGTTCCGTGGACTCTTGCATATTGGCCGCCAGGAAGCATTGCTATCTTGAGAGGGGTTCCTGCCGCAGGTCTCCTGCAACGGCCGGTCGGGGGACTTGCCTGGGGTTGGGGGGCCCTCGGAATGCCGGCTGGGTAAAAGGGCGTTTGGTGACGCTGGTCACAGCACTGTTGGGGGCATGCGTGGCAGCAACNCCTACGATCTGTTGTTGGCGTAGGACAACGAGACTGGTGGCTCCGGCAGTTTCTGAATCGGCGCAGGGGATCCAGGCTCGATCGCTGTCGCTGCGTGGCTCTCACTCGAGGTTGGTCGCACATTGTTGATTGCACGCCTGCGTCTCGGTCGTCTCTGCTCATCGGTGGTATCTGGCGGCGGCGCCTCGGCTGATGTGGACTGCTGCGCGCACTCCTCCAGCCCACTTGCGCTCGGTAAGGGCAGCACTCCTCTGCCTACACTCGGAGTGTGGAAAGTAAGGAAACAATCGTCACATGAAAACTTCAAATTTGTGGAGTCACACGACTGGAGGGCTGTATAGATGTGTGGCGGTACGCTAGTACATGTAACATGACGCCAACATTGACATATATAACATAATACGGCCGTCGCGCGAGGACCGACAATCTTCTTATATTTTGAGTTTCTCTTCGTGTCCTTACTGCACATAGTTACACAGTAAATCCACAGGAGGAAGTACACAAGACAGAAAATTTTTTTCCACGATGACGGCGGACACAACTTGGTGTAGCGCAGGTAAAGGTCAAGGTTGATTACTGTTGAGTACTAATGAATTGAACTGAAAAAGCTTTTTTTTGCAGAAGAGAAGACGAATACAGATTCGAGAATATTGGGCGCAAGCCTTGAACCTGAGAGTTACTTCAAGACTTCAAGATAGTTACAATGTACCAATATAATATTTCGTAGTTTTACGCGCCGTCTCTAAACGGGATATGCTGCCGGGGCAATTGCCTTACTTGCTCCAACATGTAATCATTTTTCATGTGGTTTCAGTTCCCGTCCCTTTGGGTTTATCTGTGTTTCTGCCATCCTACTCGACGGATCCGTCATACTATTTCGATGACGTATTTTAATCACTCATCGGACTTCAAATGCTACATAACGGCTTAAGTCCTGTCCAATTTTCATCCAAATCCGTCGTTGAATACCCCCGTTTTCTCCTTACTACCGAATTGTTCCTCTAGGAAATGTTGGCTTTTCTAATTTTATGTACTCCTAAATGGAATACATTGCACTTAACTGATACAGGAGCGTTAGTTTTTGCTGGACCTCAATTTAATCTTTTCGCTTTGAAATGCACCTGTGTGCCTATGGGTACCTGTAGATACAAAGCAAAGATTTATTCAACCAAGTAAATTATCAAATTTATCTCCATTCTACAGAGTTTCCATAGGTGACCCTTGTTTAAGAGTGACATAGTCTTTTTTGTAGTTATATTTGTTTTTGTCAGCATACTTCCCGGTGCGATTGGCTTTATCTTGCTGTCCCCCCCCTTGGGATCTGTTGGCCAATGATTGTCCTAGCACCGGAGTGACGTGCTGGTCGCTTATTGGTCAACAGTTTTTCTCTTGTCAGTACGCAGTGATCAATTACATGATTGATCATAAAGGAAGCACGTCATTTACGTGCAGACACAGTGGGAGTTCCACTTGCGTGACGAGCTAGAAGGTTCCTCCTTCAAATGTGAGTTTGTTTATGCACATATGGCTATACGCATGTGAACATGTAGTCTTAACTTCCTGCCCTTTTGGTGATTATTACTACTCCGGAACTTTCAGATCTTTAAATAGATAGCAATTGTTGCCAAAGTTATCGCCGTCTTATATACGAGTATGCTTGACATGTCATACCCAAGACATGCCGAATGCGCACAATATCGTACTCGTGCCTCGCAGCTACTACCAACTAAGAAATAGTCTCCGATATCAATATTTCCCCCAGACAAATATGTAAATGGCCATGGCCTGATTTTTGTTCACGTTTTTTCTGACCTGCTTGGCATTTTCGGTTGGTGATGTCAGAATAATGAAATCAGTTTCCAACGAGGTACACTGTGTTTATCGATGTAGATTGTAATACATTGGAGTAGTTTCAAACAATTGTGTTACTTTCAGTATGGATCTGTGTGCCATTTGACGCGCTCGTAAGTCTCGGATGAATAGTCAGCCACCAATAAGATGGTTGCCCTTAAATATGATGGACTTATACTCTCGTTATATAAGCAACTGCGGTCGATCGGCGGCGGTACTGGAGGACGCGGAGGGATTCTGCTTGGATAGTGTCCTTTGTTATAAAATGTTGCAGAACTCGGCAGATCACACTGCAACGTGGGAATTGCAGGCCGCCACAAATTAAGCTCGCGGCTCCTGTCGTGCCCGTTTTGCCCGACATTTTTCTGGAATAGGGGAATGAACTGCCTCCGTCTAGTCTGAAATTACCACGCTACCTTTCAGGCTGCACTAAGGTATGCAAAGTCAGGTGCCTGTGTGAACAAAATGGCCACATGTCATTCATCCACCCTCTACAAACTGGACGATTGAATAGTAAAACAGCCTGAAGGGTGCTAGGGTCACCATTCCCTACCACATTCCAACGGGACTATGGGTAGTATTTATGACGTCGACTTATCCTCTAGCGGGAGATATTCATTTACAAGGGTCAACCATGAGCAGTCCTCTTTTCCGAATAGTCTTCAAATCTAATTAGTAAACTACCCTGATTCCTACCTCCAAGTCACTCCTTTGATCGTTGATCGAGTAGGATTCCCAAACCACCACCAAAATCATTCACTTTTTCATCTGACTGTTGTCATGCTCTTATGTCAGCGATGCTAAGCACCGAGTCTACCAATGAGAAATTCTTTTATACTGAATTGGATATTTTCCGCTTGTTTATCTGTGCTGTCTGTAGTTCACTCAGTGATAAGCGTTGCTCATCCAGCAGTAGCAGTGGCCCTCCACCTTTTTTTAGTATTCCTTGCTTTTCTTCGTTCGAAACATTGATTCCAGTCAGATCCAACATCAATATGCAGGGTGACGTAAGAAGCTGGAAAATTAATCGGCATACGTTTGATTTCTTTATTTTTCCACGACGATTCATTTTTTAGGTATGTTGTTCATTGCTGGAGATACTATACTTTTGCCACGGCTCTCCTTTTATAACATTTAATTTCTGATTGACGTGCTATTATATTATTTTTTATTTTCACACACATAAGTGGGCTATTATTATTATTTTTCAACAACCAATTCTCGGCAAGAGCAGAGTTGTATGCTACCGAGCGCGTCATCAGGTCGCGGATACGAGAACGGCCGCTAACTGGCGGTTAACTGTGAATAAGGTGGGTTTATTCTCACTGAATGGGCGGTCGCGGATGATCAGCGGCAGTCCTCAAGGATGTGGTGGGTTTACCACTTGGCAATGGTTCTCCACACAAAACACCACATGTATCTTATGACAGCGCTGCGACGTGGCGAGTGTGGCCCGGCACTGAATACGGCCATTGCTCCCTTGTCGAATTCCATCAACCCAACAAGGTCTTCCAGAAAAGGCGAATGAACCAACCGACCAGTCACCGGCTTATCTGGAACAATACTGTTGCCTTGTAGCTCGCGCTTGGTTGTGTAAAGGGTAGAGTGCATCCTCGAACAAGGAATACTCTGGACTGGGCGACCGAGTAATACAACAGCCCACAATGCAAACAATGAACTTCAGCTTAATCAATAACTCGCTCTTTCAGTTCTCGCGCATGAAAAACGCTTTACACCGTGCACATTTTCCTTTTTTCAGCTTTTCCTCCACCTCACATTCACCCCCTCAAACATTCCCATTATTATCAAGATCTTCAGACAATCGCACTATCAGTTGTGCCTCCGATGGAAATTCCATCCCTTTTTTCTCGCGTCCTGCCTCGAATAGCGTCCAAGTCTCACCGAATCTTCCTCCAGCAGTTGAAGCTCTTCTTCGTCCTCGATGTCCATGCAAACTAATCACATTTAATGTGCGTACCTTGATGTGTATAGGACAATAGACATGTTTAGCTCGTACTCTCGAGACCGTATCCATCGATGTGCTGTATCCAAGAGACTCGAATTCAAGACTCTAGCTCCGCCATCCGATTGTCGTCCCCGTCAAACCCATCCGCGAAGTTTCACCTGCGTCTTTCTGGGGACCCAAAGGCTGTGGCTTCTGGTCTTACTGGTATTAGCGTGGCTCTCAGTGAGAGAGCTAAAACCGCACGCCTGGATTGGATCACAGTTGACAGCGGGTTATGCGCAGTGAGACTTCGAGTCTCGTGCA